AAAACAAACAAACCTTCACATCCTGGTTCTGAGCTGCAGCCCGGTCAGAAAAGCCCAGCCCGTTACGTTATGTTTAATCAAGCAGCTGTGCGCTACAGACTGCAGGATCATATTTGCAGATCTTCTCTGTTTTCAGCACAAGCACTTCAGTGAAGACATTCAGACCTGCCAGTACCGCTCCATAGAGGTTCTGATTGGTGCGGACTACGACACGCCAGCTGACATCTGGAGCACCGCCTGCATGGTGAGTGAGACAATAGCAGTAACATTATTCCACTGCTGGAATAACTTTATTGCTATTGTCTCCTTGTGTCCTCTGAAGGCCTTTGAGCTGGCTACAGGAGACTACCTGTTTGACCCGCAGGCAGGAGCCGCGTTCTGCCGGGAGGAAGGTGTGTGTTCAGCTACTTTACCACCAGTGTGTTTGAGATGAATAATATGAACATTAAGCAGAATGTTTTCACGTCCGTAGATCATATTGCCCATATCATTGAGCTGCTCGGACCTCTTCCGTCCCAGTTTGCCCTTTCTGGGAGAAAATCCAAACAATACTTCAACAGGAAAGGTAAAGTTAAGTGTGTTTTTTTTTTAATATAGACATTTCTTTGTGCCCTATCTCTTTTTCTCTTTTGGGAAATTTTAGTTTTAATATAATAAATTTTGAATACATACATAATTTATCTTGTATAGCACAAGAAAATACACGAGCAGCATTCAAAATATATGACAAAATGATTGGAGAGTTCACTTGTTAAGGCACATTTAGCATCTTCTGTTAGCGATTAACAACATTAGCATGGCTACAAAATTGTATTGTTGCAAACTGACACACGTGCTCTTCTAAAAAAATGTTAATACATGCCTGAGATATAAAGAAACACTTACATGAAGATAATATCAGCATTTATTCTCAATTCCTTTCAAAATCTCCACTTAGGTAGCTTTTGCTTGTTTTACTTCTCCTTTCATTACTCAATTATTAATCGATTTATTAGTGTGAGTACTAATAGGTTAATTGTTGATTGTTTTAGTGATTAAATCTAATATAATCATTCAGTCTCTACCTGAAGTGTTAATACTGAGATGCTTACAAAGATAATTTGCCATTCAGAGAAGCTTTGGAAGATTCAAGACTGATAAAAAATACACACATATATTTCAGTCAGTCAATTAACTGATGCAGCTTATGATCCAATGTTTCTAAGGCTTATGACTTTGCTGCTACGAGGCGCTGCCCTCTGCTTCGCATGTAAACCTCAGTGAGACGTTATCCTCATCCGTTCACTGCAATATGTTGATGATAATCTGAACTCTGGGATTTCTGAAAGCTGCCAGCATTTCAACGTCCAGCATCGCCCGTAGCAGACTGGGTTTGTTTCAAAGGTCAAGGGAATAAAGCGCCAGCCTCTGCTTTACGCTGTTCAGCCTTTTGTGTTTTCCGCAGAAAAGAGCCGCTCAGCCTGAGCTGACCCAGATATTTCTCAAGGTGGATTTAATATTTTTGTTTTGAACAGTCTTTGCATCTCAGCGCTTTGACTGTAGTTTGATGTGCAAACAATGAAACGACTCTTTCTTCTTTATCAACACGACCTGATAAAGTTAGCCTGCGCTCCAACACAACCTTTGAGTTCCTGACTGACCAATAATCAGTCAGAGCTTAAAATTGACTTATTTCTCCCATCAGCTGTTTTTTTTTCTCTGCATTTCTCTTCTTGCACAATCCTGCTTTTTATTAGAATAACATTTTTAAAAGCCCGATTCTCACTCAGATTTGTAAAATGCATGAAATTTATTCAATCTGTTTATTTTATATGGTTCTCTTGCTTTTACTGGACCGTATCGACGGTTTATGATATGAGTAATTACAAAGTCGAGCTGGTCTGAGCAGCCAGAAACCCCCTCTCCCCTCTCTTCAGGGCAGCTGCGGCACATCTCCAAACTGAAACCGTGGAGCTTGTTGGAGATCCTGCTGGATAAGTACGAGTGGCCGCGAGAGGAAGCGCTCCAGTTCAGTTCGTTTCTCCTCACCATGTTGGAACTGCAGCCAGAGAAAAGAGCCACAGCTGCTCAGTGTTTGAAACACCCCTGGGTTTCCGCCTAGAGACGCACCGCAGCACCGTGTCACCAGGGCCATCGTGCAAGAGGAAAAAATAGTCAGTTTCTGCCAAAAACTCAGAAATTTTAAAATTCATCTCAGAAAATTTTCTAGAAATTTCAGAGATTGGAAAGTCTAAAGTTTGCTGGGGGGAAAAATCTGAAATTTTGAGCATAATCTCAGAAGTTTTCTAGAAAAAACAACAGCAAGAAGTAAAAAAAAAAAATTGCTGGAAAAAAATCTGAAATTTTGAGCTAAATAGTTTATAGAAGCGAAGCACGTTGCCATTTCTGAGTTTGAAAAGTCAAACATTTGCTAAAAAAAAAAAAACTAAAATTTTGAGATCAATCTTGGGCAAAAAAAAATAATTTCTGAGTTTCAAAAGTCAAATTTTATAATTTTTCCTGGAAGATTTCTTGAGATTTTTTTTCTCAAACTTTAAAAAAAAAAACCTCAGAAACTTCCTTTTTTTTTTTAGAAATTTCCTGAGATTATTCTCCAAATTTCTGTTTTTTTGTTTTTTTGTTTTAATGTACTACTTTTTTTCTATGTACAAAGACCCGGATACACTGTTGTACACATGAGACGATGTCTGGTAAAAGGGACTCTGCCTGCTGTAGTTGTTTGGTGCTGGCATCCGTAAAGACTGGCACTAACTTTCTTTTTCTTACATTGATTATTTGCTACTTTAATACTTTTATGCCACAGATATCAGAGTCTCAATGTTGCATCCACTTTGTGTTTCTCCTTCATCTTCCGTTCTTCCTGGTGTCTCATATTTTAACATGACCATAAAAGACTGAGAATTCTGGGAAGCAGTGTTCATAAAATCTTAAATTTTTACAATAAAAACGTGCAAGAACCACTCTGCTCCAGCTATTATTGGAATCATCCAATTCAAGCCAAACATCTATAAGAGTAAAGCTGTAATCTCCACTCCAAAGATTCCTCACATAAGACTAAAAATAATAAAAGCTGTGACAGATGTGTCTTGTTTTCCGCGGCCGCGGTGCGTAGAGATTTCAGCAGGCTGCACATTCCTCGCATGCCCACATTTCGGTGCAGCTCTGAGCAGAGGAGGAGGGGGGGATGGAAGGAAGACGAGGGAGGAGTTAGCTTCATGTAAACTCAGGCATATGTCCGCCTTTCAAAAGCACATTTTCCTGGAGCAGCGACGAGGTGAGAAGAGGACGGAGGAACTCCACCTGATCACACGGGTGACGTATCTCGTGTTAGATCGTCAGGAAGGCACGGTGAGTCGATTAATGGTTACTCTTGAGTTACTTTGTTAATGTGTTGCTAAAAGGGCTGCGTGGTTCAATCTGGATTCATGCCTTCTGCACTTAGAAATGTGTTCATTTGAAGCAGATTAACTTGTTAATTTGCAATATTTTGCCACAAGAAATATAGTCAAACAGCCTTGCTGTCTCTGTGTGTTTGTGTGTGTGTGTTTTTTTGTTTGTTTTTACAGCAGCTATAATTTAAACATTGATTGTCAAACAGGAATGACTAGTTGAACAGTAAAAAAGAAAAAAGGTACCAGTTTTGTCCGGCATTTCAGTACATTGAGAAGAAAGCCTGAGTAAAAGGTTAAAGTCTCAGTTTTGTGCCTTTGGGTGACACAGCTCTTAACCCCCAGCCAGTTGCCATGCGACTCAAACTCTGAATCAAAAGGGATTACCTCAGCTACCACAGAGCTTTCACAGCTGCATTATTACTCCAAGGTAGTCGGGGGTTTTTCTCTCCTCGCTGCTTTTCCAGAGAACGAGTTCTGTTTAAGATTCAAGCTGTGCTCTTCTCCTCTCTCTTTTCCTTCTTTCCCCTCCCTGCTTCATCTGCCCTCAGGCTGCAGCTAAACAGCTTCTAAGTGTGGGGAAAGCAGCTGTTTGTTACAGATTATTGCAGCTCATTTTAGGTACTTTCTTCCCAGTGGTGTATATATTTTGTGTGTGCGTTCAGATTGGATGTGGCAGCGGCAGGAGCAGCTCCTGCATTCTACCCTGCATAGTAAACACCCATCTCATTATCTAAACACAAAGGGACAAGTAGGGCGACAGGAGACACGAGAGTCCCTTGATCTTTCCTCTTGCACATTTTTTGCTCTTCGTTTATCACTGTCTCTTTCAATATTGCAGCACTGCACACTGTAACAGTACAATTTTCTTTCTTTTTTCCTTTTATTCTCACAGGATGTGGCTGACTCTGCTCTACGGTTGCGCCGGCGGGGCCGCTCTGCTGTACGTGCTGTACAGATGGGTGATTCCTTCTGTCGTGCAGTACCACGCGGGACTCGCGCTCATTTGGCACGACACCATCGTGGAGGGATTGCTGAATGCACTGACCCAGACCACACGTCCTCAGGTGTGCCTTTGCTAGATGCTCGCCGAACACGATAAACAAACAAAACCTACGTCGAAGGTGTCAGAGATACTAGATGCTCCAAATTACCTGGTTTGTTTTCGTCTCAGCAGTGAAACGCAATGCCTTGCAAAAAATATTCACATTCTTTGGAAGTTAAGTGGAAGGAAAACGATACACGAACATATTGCCCATTCTTTGTGAAACGGCTCAGGTTCAGTGAGATTGTTTGGAACAATTTTCAAGTCTTCCATAGATCCTTAGACGAAATCGGGTTTTAACCGGAAGATGAACTTCTCACCCAGTTTTAGGTCTTGTGCAGCTTAAGACAGCTTTTCCTTTCAGGACTGCTTTGTGTTTAGCTCCATCCATCTTTCTGTCAACACTTCTGCTGATGTGTACTGTTGATTTCTAGCATTTGACTTGTGGAAAAAATGTGTTTTTTATGTTTTCTCATCTCACCATAGGATTTTCTTCTAAGTGTTTACAGTGCGTCTTGCAGGACTCGTGGCAAACTGTAAAGTTTTGTGGCTTTCTTTTATCAGTGGCACGCTTGTATGGAGGCCAGATTTGTGAAGTGGACAGCTAATATTGACTGACTGTACAGACTTTGGCAGCTCATCCTGAGTTACCATCTTGGCTGTTTAGGTGGGTGGCCATGTCTTAATATATTCTCAGTTGTACCAGTTTCTGTCATATCCAGTTTCACAGGATGGCCTGAACACGGCTCATTATGAATTAAAGGGGCAGTAGTGTGTAAATGTGACTTTTTTTTAGCTTTACATCACGTTACAATGTTATTCCCCCATCAAAAACGTACCTGGAGTGTTTCTTTCAGTCTTTCATGCATGTTTGAGAAATCCTTCAATCTCCCGTAGCAACCATTCGGGTTCGTTGAAACTCTTGCGGAACCGAGTGTTCCCGAGCTTCTGCGTAGCGGAGCACTCCTCATCCATTATTGGTTCCTTCAAACTAGCAGGAGCAGCAGCAACTAGCAAACAGCTGGTGGAACTGCGCATTCGCTGAGCTCATCATACAAACTGTTTCTCGGTGCTCTGACGAATGTTTGCCTTCAGCACGTCAAACGTCGCTTCGCCAAACGTTTACGGAGTTCCGGAAAGAGCAGAAGCTTCTTAAAGAGACAGAGGTCCAATTTCAAGGCATTAAACTGCAAAGTCACATTTCTTTTAAGTCATTTAACTTTTATAACAACTGGATATAATAACGTTACTTGATTGTACTATAAATTGATACTTTGTGGCTGGAAAACACATAATACTGCCCCTTTAACACATTTTATTTTCTTTCTCTTTGGGATGGCCCCTGGTTTCCAAGATGTTGTTTGCTCACTAACCGTGGCAAACCACAGATCGTCATGGCAACATGATGCATGTAAAAAAAATATCCCAGCCTCTTCATTTGGGTTCACTCTCTTGTAGTCGAGAGTGAACTTGTAGGAAAAGACACGAGGGAAACTTAAAAACTCTCAAACCCGTCGTGTCGAGATGATCCGTTCTGTTAAGGTGTTTGAGCCGCGGCAGGACAGATGCATGCTGGGACTCCCTCCTGTCAGCTAAGAAAACAGTTCTTGGGCTCAGCAGGCTCAGCAAAACTGCAGAGATGTGCTGAGCTCAGCGGTTTCGTTGTCTGAGCCTTCTTAAAGCTCACAACTTGGCATTAACGGTGTGAAACCTTACTCCCAACACGGCGAGCCTCAACAACCCAGGCTTGATTGGTGTTTGTGCAGTGAAGCATATCAAAATAAAAACACCTGCCTCTGAAGATAACACGAAACCCTTCCTGCAAGAACAGAGACGCCTTCCAAATAGTTTCCACGCTTTCCAAAGACTCGGTTCCTCGTTCTCCCTCCTTTCGTATCTTTACGCCTTACATTCACGAAGGCTGAATGTAGATTCTGCTACCTTAATATGTCAGCGTGTCGTCATGAATAGGGTGAAAGAACGGCTCAGGCTTGAGGGGCATTACGCAAGTGTGGGCTTGTGAAATATTTTCTAGTTTGCAAACAGAAGAAGTGAATGCAAAACAATCGCACAGCAAACACGGCTCCCTAAAACTTAGAACATGGAGAGAAGTTGGATACTTAGTGAAAAGAGAGACGGCTGATTTTCAATCGATTTTAAATCAAATGTAGAGTAACCAATGACCAGAGTAATTGGTTGTCATGATTTTTATTTCTTCTTCAACCTTTATTTGACCCGAAACAAAAAACATGTTGTCATGATTTTACCTTAATTTTAACTGATTATCTTGTAGAAGCTTTTTTACTTTTGTGTTGGAGATGTTTGATCTCAAGGAGGGTTTTTTCCCCCAGTTAAATAAAATTTGAAGAGGAAGAATTCAGTCATAAAATAAATTTGCTCTTGTCTTTTAAAAGCTTACGGTCCTTTTTTAATTTCATGCAAGCACAAACTGACGACGACAACTCATGTAATCTGGAAAAATACACTAAAACACAGCTGCTTAGTAAAAACTCTAACTCCTACGGAGTAGATTTGCCCTTATTTTTATTTTTTTTTTAGCGTTCATGCTTCTTAGAAACTGGTATCGAATAGACTAAATGATGTGGCAACCAGTTGCTTGACATGTTGCTCACGTTGCTCTGTTGTCCTCTGGGCCAAAAAGAAATTCAAGAAATTTGGATCTTGTTAAATTGTTGTTTGTATTATAGCTACATTTGCAAATAAGATATTCTTAGTGCATTGTTTTTGATCACAGTGATACATTACTAGATTTGATCTTTCTCCTCTGTAATCTCTATAAACTAGATTAGAGTTGTAGTTATTTTTTTAAACTCAGCTGTTCAGTAAACGTCTCTCCTACTTCTTGTATGCTGATTGAACTCTTTCAATTTTTCATACAATACAATTGGTTAAATGATTAACAGATTTCTGCATTATATGTTTTTGCACAACGTTTATGAAAATGACTACATGAGGAACAACAGCAGGGACGTAAACAGACACTAGGAGGCGCTACAGTACCCACCCCTCTTCCCTCTGAACAAAAACTATTTTGCCTGACAAAACGGATGTATTCTGTTCTGCTGTCGCCACTTTCATTGCTACGGAAACCAAGTGACTGAATGTTATTAAACATCTGCGTCAGACTACACACGGCTATTCACTTAAAATACACACGACGGCCTGTAATGAATCTCACATTGCTGGTGGTTCTACGTGGAGCGCCCGCCACCGAGCAGCAGAGCTTTGAGCAACTTCATTCCTGTGCCAGATTCTTTTAAAGACCCAATCAATTCTTGTCGAGGTCCATTTAGTGAAGGCGTTTAAAGTTGAAGACTGGAGGGATCCGTAAAAGTATCGGCTCTCATCGGACCTCAGACCTCTGCCCAATGGTCGTCCTTCAAACAGGCATCGATGGTTCGTGGTATTTTACTCGGCCGTGCTTCTTGTTCAGGTGGCTACCATTGATTTAATTTGGTCTTAATTAGATAAAATAAAAAGTTTGCACTGTTTTTTAGAAACAAGAAAAGAAAAGAAAAAGACTCGTCATTTTTAGAACACAGTATCTTGATGAATATTGATTGTGAGCTAATCTTATAAGGCCAAGTATTGATTGTAAACAGAAAGAGAGCGGGACTTCATGGGTCAAAGGGCACCAAAACACCGTGTGTTAGAAAAACGGAGGGCAATCCTTCACTCCGTCATCAACTCTCAAGCTCAGCAAAATCCCGACTTGTTTCATGTCACTGCTTTTCTTTTTTTAAAGTTCGCTCTCTCAGTATGAGCTGTCATTTCGTGGATGGTTTGTCATAAGCAAGTTGGGGGGGAAATGTGTCGCATTCAGATTTGAATGTGTGAGTTTATGTTGAGATGTTTTTTTTTTGTTTTTTTTGTTGCCATGTACCCAAAATGAAGGGAATTGGAGGCTATTTATCACACAGCCGATTTATCGCTTTCTTGGTTTTAAATGGTTACATTAGGAAATCATCATAACGTCTGACGGCATTTCCACAGGAGAAATTGCTAGACTTTGAGAATCCTTTCATAAGGAACACCGGTTAGCTAACAAGCTAACGTGTAGCTGATGAGCCAGTCACTGAGCTGGCCAGCTGATTGGACAGTATGCAGCAACAGCAGCAGCAAAAAGGCTGTAATGTGACTTTAAGAAAATGATAAATATACAACCAGGCTTATAAATATTCCAGTTATCATATCCTCCATAATCATGTGTAACACTGGTCTGGCTTCAGGAGGAGAAAAGGTTAACTAAATGTGATGGAAAACAATAAAATAGTTTGTTTTTTTACTCTGTGGGAGGTTATTGACACAACTGAAAGTGATCCTGTTTTGTTTTTTTTTTTTTTGCTTTCTTGGCTCCCTGCAGCGGCTGTTGGCTGCAGTGCAGAAGAACGCCACTAGAGGGGACCCTCGCAGCGTGGTGAAAGCCATCGATCAGTTCTGCAGACAGAAGGAGTGGGCCATGAATGTGGGAGATGAGAAAGGTGGCGAGTTTTCTTTCCTTTTCTTTTTTTTTAAGTTCATAACTGTTCTTTCATGAGGAAAAAAAAATATTTCCTTTCTGATACGTTTCTATTCGTCCTTCGACCCCTAGGGTGCATCCTGGACTCCGTGGTGACTGAAGTGAACCCGGCGACGGTGCTGGAGCTGGGAACCTACTGCGCCTACTCTACCGTGCGCATCGCCAGCCTGCTGCCTCCTCACGCCAAGCTCATCACCCTGGAGTTCAACCCACACAACGCCGCCATAGCTCGCCAGGTGATCGCTTGGGCAGGACTGGGAGACAAGGTAAAAGCCTGACGTCTAAAGCGAACTATGAGCACGAGGGGGGGGGATAAAAATAAAAAATCCACTTCTGGGTCACGTAGCCGAGTGTTTTCTTCCCTCTAGATCCAGTTAGTAGAAGGAGCGTCTGGCGACTGGATCCCCAAAATGAAGGAGAAGTTTGCGATAGAAACGTTTGATTTGGTTTTCTTGGATCACTGGAAAGATCGCTACCTTCCCGACACAAAGCTGATGGAGGTGCATTTGTTGTAACACACTTCAGTTCGGATTGAAATCTTCCCTGTTCATTCCACCATGACACAGTTTTTGTTTTGTTTTTTTAAATCAGGAGTGCGGTCTCCTCAGGAAAGGCAGCATCCTGTTGGCAGATAACGTCATCTGCCCCGGAACGCCCGACTACCTGGAGTACATCCGCAACAGCCCCCGGTATAAGAGCCAGTACTTCAGATCCCACCTGGAGTACACCAAAGTGGAAGACGGTTTGGAGAAATCAGTTTTCTTAGGGTAGATATTCAACAAAAGAGCCTCAGACACACATTTCAGGATCATCCACCAGACATAGAACAAGAAATCCCGTCTCTTTTTCTAATGTAATGAAGATGTTGACTTGAAAATAAAAGTAACATGAAATACAAATGTAATGTTGCGTTCTTTGTTATGCTCGTTCCTTAATGTTTTCACATATTGTCATGTTGTATGTTTGTTGAGATTTTTTAAACGTGACAGAACAATTATTTTTTTTCCACAAGCCATTTGGGAACTAAGAAAAATGTTGCTTTAGAAAATAACAAGATGGAGATTTTTTATGTCAGTATAATTATAAAGTCAAAATACTTAATTAGTCAAAATACTTAAATAGCAGAGAATTGATATTAGTTCTCACATAGAGGGTTTCTTTTCATCAAATCTGCTTAAAGTTAATTCAGAGCAATTTCGAATAAATGCTCTGAATTGCCAAACCTTTCAAAAATCCTATTTCTAAATAATTTTAAAAAACGTCTATTTATCTTCCTGCATGTAGCGTTGGTGTCTCCTGGGCTGGTAGGGCAGTAGCCCAGGGCGCCAAGTTTTAGTTTTTTTTGGGGGGGGGAATGTTTTTTTTTTTTTTTTTTTCAAACGTTGTACCTTATACAAAACTGTCTTTTCTGTAAGTTGGGTGTGTATCCGTCCAGCACATGGCGGCGGTGGCGGCGATCCTTTAGCCGAGCTCCTAATTGACAGATGAGCTACAAACTGATCTGGGAGCTGCTCTTTTTTTTTTCAGAGCATCGACTCAAATCAATCGGAAACCTAATCCAGCTACATTCTGTAGCACACAAACCTGTTCTGTGCTCTGATATTCTCTGCCATTGTGTGTGTGTGTGTGTGTGCGTGTGTGTGTGTGTGTGTGCATGTGGACAACGTTGTGATAGTGAGTGGATGTGGTGTGTTTGTGTGTTTGTGTGAGAGAGAGGGAGAAAGAGAGAGAGAGCAAATTGCTGCTCATCTAATCTCTCAAAGTGATGGAGTGGGAGGAGGTTTTTTTTTCTTTTTTGCTGCAGCTGCACGAGAGAGAGAGAGAAAAGTGAGCTTGTCCACCTAGTGCTTTCTTCACAGACGGCTGCATGATAATCCCAATCTGAGGCCATTAGTGCTTTGAGAGAGAGAGAGAGCGAGGGTTCCCCGGAGTGAGGGAGGGAGGAGTGACTGCTCTGGACAGAGACGCGCACGGCTGAAAAAAGGACGGCAGAACGGGAGGAGAGCTTTTAAGGGATTTGGCAGAGATTTGGAGATTCTCATGCCGTAATGTTGCACTTCCCTCTGCTTCTGCCAGGATGCCGCACTCTAAAACCCTCGAGAGCCTCTTCTTCATTTAGTATTTTTTTTTAATTACATCAGTTATTTTTTTTATTTATTTTTTTTTATATTTTCTAACTTGTTTTTTTTTAGTTGTTTTTTTTCTAACCGTGCAGAGCAGGCAGTCTGAGATGACAGAGCCTCAGGTTTGAAGTGCAGCCCATCGAATCTGGACCGAGGTTGGAGGCCCGCCTGGACAATCTCCTGTGATGGATGAATGAATGAAGAGTGATCCATGAAGAATGGGCAGGTGAGTAATGACTTTACATCTTCATACAAGTTGTTTGTAAAGGTGTATTTAAAAAAAAAAAAAAGCGATTTGTCTTACTTTCTCTATCATCCTTGTATTTCAAATTGATTTCAATCTATTAAATTCAAATTCTAAACATCATATATTTGACTCTAGGCATTACTTAAAATAGCAATCAAAAGCAGAATTTAAATATGTGAGAAGAATCATGCCAAAAATTTCAAAAACAGCAGCTTTGTTAGAATTAAATCTGGACAGATAAAATGACTTCAAACGTCGTTGGAGTGAAAAATATCAAGAAAAACTGTCCACAGACAGCTGTGGGTGTTTCTGTTTCTCTCGCTCTTCTCATGCAGATATAATCAACCTGGTTGGCGTTTCGAGGCACGGAGTGCCCCGTCAGTTTTCATGATGTTTTCTGGTTTTGCAAAATTTACAATGTTTTCCATCATCGGCTCTAAGCTCTTCACGATAAAAGCTTCCAGCGTTCTCTCCGTGTCATCATGCAGGTTGTTTACAAAACTCCTCATCCTCTGCCCTTTTTTTTTTTTTTTTTTATTTTATTTTATTTTTTATGCACTTGTTTTGGCCAACTTTCTGTTCTTTTTAGTTATGAAATAAAGCAAAAACAGAAGGAAAAAACAAGCAAATGCTAGTTCCTAAAATAATACAACCACAAGATCAGGGGTGTCAAACTCATTTTTGTTTTGGGCCAAATCCAGATCAGGAAGGCTCTTAAAGGGCCGGTTGTGGCAGAATGTATTGATAAAACATAAAACCTGTTCACAAACTCTTAAAATATCAATGAATTCTTAAAATTAAGTATTACTGAACATCTTTTCAGTTCCTCCAGGATTTTGTGATTTTTTGCGTTTTTTTGCAATTAAAATCAAAGTGTTTGTGATAGTAATTTCGAAATATTTGCAGATATTAGCTGTTTAGTACAAGTGAGAAAATTTTTGAAAATGTTTGAGAAAAATCTGCAATAAACTCCCAGTTATGTATTATTAATAAATTGCTAATTTGTTGATTTTGTGTGAATTTCCATGATAATTCTCCAAAAACTGGAGGGACTGATTGATATAAATTGGCAGTAAGCAGATAAAAACCGCATTGATTTGATTTGTGACATAATATTTAATCTCAGTGTTTAATCTTGATTCTAGAGGGCCACATGAAAAGCTGCGGCGGGCCGGATTTGGCCCACGGGCCTCGAGTTTGACACGTGACCTAAATTCAGCAGTGGCAATGTTCGGTTTTTGTAGCTGAAATGTGTCAAAACTGTTTTGATATTTTCAAAATTTTCCCCCACATTGAAGTTTTCTTGTGATTTATGTAACGATCAAAGACTGAAATTCTCCTTGCTTTCACACACCTGGGTGTCCATAGCAACCATCTTTTAATTTCTCTCTTCCCGGTAGAAGAAGAGTGAAATCAAGTTGTGATCCAGAATTTCAACTCTAAACTCTAGATCTCTCCTTGACTTTTAGAGGTTTCTCAGGTTTTTTTTGTTGTTTTTTTTTTAGCAGCTTTCTTTATGTTTCTGTCTTCCTGAAATGTTGACGTTTGCTCGACTCACTAGGGGAAGAGCTTTATTAATGCTGCATATTTCTTTCTGAATCCGTCCTTTATTCTCTCTGTGCTGACTAATGTTTGAGTCCTGGCTGCAAAAATCAGAGCGACGCTTTAGTCACCATCTTTAGCTGCGAGGTTGGTATAAATGAAGGCGGACTGTTTACATCTCTGCTTTGACAAATTGTACGGCTTACGTTTTATTTAAAAAAAACAAAAAACAACTGATTATTACAGACATGATCTGATCACTGCGTATGTTTCCTGTAACAGGACAAAACCTGAACCCTCTGTCCTCAGAACAAATTCTCACTTTCAACGACGACTTCTTCAGAAAACATTAAAACGTCATACAGCAGAATATCATACATGTTTTTCTGTATGACATTATGTTTTCTGTTTTTACAGCAGAAAACAGAATAATATCGTAAAACAGGGAGAAATGAAATACTCATCGCCCTTACTGCTCCTGTTTTCTGCCCTACAGGTAGACGGAGTGGCCCGGTGCTGCCAGTACCTCTGCTGGACATCATCATGATGCCAGAGGCCGGTCCATACTGTCTCCTCTGCCGTTCCACCTCGCTGTTTGCGTCCCGTCCATGGCTTCGTGCGCTGGGGCTCCTGCTGGTGGGCTTCAGCCCCCTCTCACTGGGCACCCAGCCCCAGTCCAGCCTCAAAATCGAGGGCGACATCACCCTGGGCGGGCTCTTCCCGGTCCACTCCCGGGGGCCTGCCGGCGTGCCCTGCGGCGAGATCAAGAGGGAGAAGGGGATCCATCGGCTGGAGGCCATGCTGTATGCCTTAGACCAGATCAACAGTGACCCCGACCTGCTGCCTAACATCACCCTGGGGGCCCGGATCCTCGACACCTGCTCCAGGGACACCTACGCCCTGGAGCAGTCGCTCACCTTCGTCCAGGCCCTCATCCAGAAGGACAACTCGGGGGTCCGCTGCTCCAACGGAGAGACCCCCATCATCCCCAAACCGGAGAGGGTGGTGGGAGTGATCGGGGCATCGGGCAGCTCCGTGTCCATCATGGTGGCCAACGTGCTCAGACTGTTTGCGGTGAGGCTGTACTTATTTTTGCTAATGAAGGGAAACGGCTGAGTGGCCTGATTCTCTGTCTTCTGACCGACAAAGATGGAAGCGATAAACTGCTAAAAAATGTCTGGGGTTTTTCATCTGATTTAGGGTTATTTTGATGTTCCCAATCCAAAAATCACTTTGGTTTTGATCAATCAGGTCAACTTTCTGAACTATGGAGCAACATGAGCATCAAAATGCATGACTTGTTCTCACATCTGGATTGGTTTCCTGAGAATCTGATCAATGAGTGACGAGCAGGAAGAGAGACTCCATCGGGACAGAAAAGAGACGGAGACGTAATGTTCAATTCACATGTACTTCTCCTTATCAGTGATTATTATTTAATTTACAGAAATGCAAGTTTAAAACATTTAATTAATACACTCTGTTCTCCCAAAACCTTTTTTTGGATAAGAAATATTAACAGAAATGAACTGATAATGTCACAAAATGTCATTGATTTAGTCAGAAGATCAGATTTTGAGCTATAAGCTACAGAACAAAAACCTGATTGAGAAAAATGGATGTCATTTAGCATTCAGTGGTACGAAATAGTCCTAATTCAGTTGAAAAAACATATATATTTTCCGTAACCCAGGCGTGAGCTGTAGATACTTTAGATAGGCCCAAAGACTGTGACAGATACGAAATCGAAGCTTTAGTTGATATTTCTGAAGGTTAGCGAAGCAAAAACTAAAAAAATAAAAAATTGAAAACATTTTCCACTTTATAAATACTCTAATGCAACCATTGTAGAATTGTTTCCAAGTTTTCAGTTTAACTTCAGATTTAATGGGTTGACTAAAAACTTCTCTCAAAATGACCAGATCTTTTCTAACGTTACTTATTGTCAATCGTCTCTATCTTTTGATTTTGGTTCCTTTACTGCCTCAACCAGTTTAGCACCATATTTGTTTTTGTTGTTGTTTGTCTTAAAGCCCACCATTTGACTGAAAGCATCTGTGTTTGTTCCAGTAGGACTTGGTTGGTATTCATTTGAAAAAATATATATCAGATGCTGACAGACTTCTTCTGGCTTTAAAAATGAGTTAATATAATGTATAATATTCTTTCTTTTTCTTTTGTTGTCTGAAATCAGCATATTGAATTTTGATGAGTTGTTATGTTGTGTACAATCTTGTTTTGATCTGTTTGTGTTTGAACTTTTGGTTTTCATTCATGTTCCTGTTCTGATTGCATGTTTGCTCATTTCTCACTATTTTTGGTTTGTTCCTTCATCTCAGTTTATTCATCCTCATCATTTCTGCTTTAAGCTGGTTTAATTGGTTTAATGTATCAGTTTCAATATTTTCCCCCCTTCTGCTTTGACTCACCTGATTCACCTCCCCAGCTGTTTTTCATGTCCTCATGTGCCTCTGTCTGCTCCCTTCCTCAGCTGCATTCACTCACCTGTGATCAGCTCTTCTGGCGCCTTTCTCCCTCAGTACTGAAGCTGCCCTTCCTCTTTCACTCACTGCTGGATCCTCTGTTACGGTGCAGAACTGTAGCACAAAATGAAAATGACATAATTTTGAACACATTCTCCCTGATAAAGATCAGTAAACTTTTATGTATTCAGTCCCCTTAAATAGAATACCCCTAAATAAAATCCAGTGTAAGTAATTGGCTTCAGAAGCCACATAATGAATTGAATGTAATCTCGGTATGAATCCAGATGTTTTTTTAAGGAAAGCGTCAGTCTACAGCTGATGTGAGAAAAAGTGCTGAAAAGGCAAATAGTCAAACATCTCTCAAATCTGAACACCACTTTGTTTTTCAGACTTAATTTGCCCTGAATTTTGTGAAACATTTTCTTTTTTTTTTTTTTTTTTTACTTCGGCTCATAATCCACACACTGCTTTGTGATCTTTCTAATCAAATAGTCATAAAATGACAAGATGCGTGACAAGATGTGACTAAAATTTAAACGGTAACGCATTTTTAACTCGCTGTCCCTGTACACCATTAACTCATTCTGTGAAATCCCACCTTCAGTTGTCCGACAAGCTGAGCTGAAAAACCAAACAAGGTGTTTGGTACGTGCCTGAACGTCGGGGTGCGCGTTGCAGCGCGTGTTGAGGCAGCAGCCAAACAGAAGCGGCTTGCAGTCGAGGCAGATGTTAACTACAGAATCACAGATCCCACCCTCCTCTTCTAAAAACCTCTCAGCAGCTCAATGGAGGGATGGGGAAAAAAACAAAACAAAACAGCATCAGAGCAGCAGGATGACGCTGATTCAGGATGAAGCTAACTTATGACCTGGGTTGGGTACATTTAGCTAAATGCTGTATTTGCTCCTGATATCCAGATAGCAACAGACTGCAGAGGCTTCTAGTCTGAGATACAACATAGACTGAATAACTGATCTTAATCGGGCTGGGTGAGTTACATTTTAATAATAATAATAATTATTATTATTGTTACTGTTGTTCATTTTTATGCAATGACTGATGCAAACAAGGCTTCTTGCCTTGACAAATGTCCACTCAACACTAGTTTCAACTTTTGTTCCAAACATGTGCTACTATGAAATAGCTGCAAACTTAAAGGCTAAGCAGAAACCAGAGAAGCAGCCAAGAGGCCTAACAGCTGCAGAAACATAAAGGTCAGATTTAAGAATCTATCGACGGGACAACCTTTAGTCCCTGCATTCCACGAATCCGACCTTTTTATGGAAGATGGGCAAGAAAAAAAAAAAAACAAAAGCAAAAAACAAGAAGCTCTGTTTTCAGTTTGCCACCAGCCATGTCGGGGACACAGCCAATATGTGGCAGGAAATGTTCTCCGTAGATGACACCAAACATCTTGAGAGAAACACAATATGTTTTCAGAAACCCACAGATCTGGTCAGATCCGGTTTGAGTTGGGCGTTGACCACTTGGCAGGGCACAGTGACCCCAACATACACCGACTTTTATCGAAACACGTTCATGTGTTAAAATTTAGGCCAAATATAAAGGCTTCAAAAACAAGTCAGAGAGCGAAAGGATGAAAAGAGATAGCAGTTCAATTTGCAATAATTAACCCATTTCACTGTTTATTTATATAAGAATTAACAACTCTAATGGAAGTTAATTACAAAAACATAATCTGTCATTGTGTCTTTTACACACCCACCTCGGGAAACGCAGATTTTTCCCTCCCGACTCATAAATTCGTGCAGCTTCTCACAGCCGCCGCTCCCGCTCTGAACCACGTCTTTGAAGGTTTTGGCGAGATGTTCCGTCACGAAGGGGATCGCTGTGTCACCGATGTGGCTCATTGATTGTACCACCAGAATTAGAGCGGATGCCTCTGTGGGATTAATTTGCTGGGGATTATGCGTTGTCTCGCTCATTAGCGATTTGTATGCAAACATTTGGATCTGCTCTGTGATCCTGGTGCAGACGCTTCGTTTCATAAAAGAGGTCTCATTTTTTGGGGCGTTGAAGGGAAAACCCACCCCCCCCCCCCAAAAAAAAAAAAAAAAATTGGTGTTGCTTGAAATATCAAGCAGGAAATTAGGAGTTTGGGAGGGTTCAAAACAGCTGAGCTGCATCAAGCAACATTTATTGTATGGCTTACAGCTGAGAAATGCTAACCTTTTTCTAGTCTCTTGATCGCTGTCTCTCCCTCTGTGCTTACCATAATTTGCTTAAAACCCCTATAATCCTTCCAGATAATCTGTGAAATGGTTCTCGCCCCTCTCTCCTTCTCCCTTCCCCAGCCCTTGTGTCTACCTTTCCCCCCCCCTCCTCTCATTCCCTGCTCCCTGCGGAGGGCTTCAGCGTGGCTTAACGCTGAAGCCCTGGATGGCATTAGCAGGTTCAGGGTTAAGGCTGCCAACATGCACTGCCGTCATTAAAAGAAGTAGCACACTAGTAAATTAATCTCCATATCCATTTTTTTTTACCCAGAAACAAATGCTTTTAGCTTGTTGCATCTGAATTTCTATGTCAGCCACTAAGAGTTAAATCTAGACCAAATGTTTCTTTTTTTTTATGCTCAACATCCAGGCAGGATAAATATAGAAAGCCTTCATTTAGACTTTGTGTTTCTGTGAGTAAGTGGTGCATCATCCTCTGACACGGCTCACTGCATCCTCTTGTCATTTCTTTTTTACCTTTTTTTTTTTTATTCACGCATCGGCCTAATAATCAGCGCCACTCGCATTTTTCCACTCGACCCGTCCCCTCTGCTCACGGCTGACCCGTCCCGTGTGTGTGTGTGTGTGTGTCCCAGATCCCCCAGATCAGCTACGCCTCCACCGCCCCGGAGCTGAGCGACAACAGCCGCTACGAGTTCTTCTCCCGCGTGGTGCCCCCAGACTCCTACCAGGCCCAGGCCATGCTGGACATCGTCAAGGCCATGGGGTGGAACTACGTCTCCACGCTGGCCTCTGAAGGCAACTACGGGGAGAGCGGCGTCGACTCCTTCATGCAGATATCCAGAGAAGCAGGTCGAGTTTCGCTGCCCGTGAGACTGTAAATTTGCTTCTGCAAATGAGGGGGATTACTCACCGAGCTGCGCTGCTCTCGCTTATTAAACGACTGGAATACGAGAGGGCAATCCTTTAATACTCAATGATGAACAATTGCAGCTCATTGTCATGTAGGTCTACCGTTAATGTATTGATTCAAAACCATTTAAAGTCATACATCAGTGACCACAGAGGGCATGCTAACACTTTGACGTTTATAGCAATTTTGACAAACAAACAAAGATGTGTACAAGGGCTTAAAATGAATTAATGTTTTCTGGAATATTATCCTAAAAATTCATAACTAAATTGAGGAATTGTTGTTTTTAATGGTATAATTTTTGGTACAGCCGGTATAACTTTCTGAGGTGTATGCAAACTCATTATTGGGGCATTCTCGAAGGGTCTGGAGCGTCTTTCTGTGAAATAATGGCGAGCGACATGGGGGTAGGCGTGGGAGCGGAACGGCACCTAATCAGTTATTGATTGTGTAATTTGCACAAGCAACAGCTGTTACTAGTAACTTCAGAAAATGCTGACTAGAAATAATTTTTCCACCATTATTTTGGCGCCCCACCTGACGTAGCACCCCACCCATACGTCACGTTAGATACCCACTTTTTGGGTACAGCTAAAAACTGTTTTAAAATAAGTGTAACAAGCACAGTTTTTAAACAAATTAACTTTTTAAAGTCGATTAGAGTTTATAAACATTCTAGCTAATAACCAATCACTTTCTGTTCACGTGGGGAATAGATATACATAAAACTGTAGGAAAGAATGGCATTTTAGGGTCACTAAATCTCAAGAACTTATTTTTTTCCTTCTCCAAAGTTTCTTGGTGTGGCATTAGGAACTCTATATAATTTCAAAATATTATGTTAAATAAAAAAAATAAAAAAAAGTGGTGGTCAGAAAGCAGGAAACGGATCGGCATTCATAAAGACCCAAAACATTTGGCCAAGTCACAAAAACAGCAACGATTGTGCCGCTGGCGATTTAAATAAAGGCAGTAATTTCTCAAAAGTTAGACTTTTTTCATTGATGGATAACGTAACTGGGATAAAAGATTAATTTTTTATGTCTGTTTACACATCTTTACCAGTGCAACTGAGCAGATGGTCATGATTTCTTGTCGGGGAATCGTAACGAGTCAGATGTTAGCACCAAGTCCAGAGCTAACAGCTGTGTTTTCACACTGAAAAAACAGAAGGAGTCGTGTAAATTCCCTGCAGCCACGCTTGATGGTACTTAGTGCTGCTACACCAAAAGCTAGCGTGCCAAATTATGCTCTTTAACAGTGTACTTGCTAAAGAGCAGCGTGCTAGTAGAAGTCTCAGAGCCCCTTGCGTGACCCTAAATTCTTTAATCTTTCATGACTACACTACTAAGAACTTATTATGCCTGACTTTTGAGATAAACCAGGGCAGCAACTAAACCACGTACACCTCCTATCAATATTTGACAGCATACATGTAGCCCTGCAAAACTGTTTATATGTATTGATTTTTCTAGACAACTGTTGGTTGTGCATTTCACAAAGTTAGTGTTTCAGGGAAGTGTGGCATGAAGAAAACTTCCTGAACATTTCTTGATAGGTTTTCTCTTAACACTTATGAAATAGTCCTGCTTGTAGTTGGTAGAGGACACAACAAGCATGTGGAACAAGATGTTTTTGTTGACATTGAACAGATAATTTATGCTCAAAAACCAATGGGAATGAAATAAAATGCATTGGTTCTGATAGCTTTGTTCCCCCTAATAAATGAAATCATCATTTAATAGGTGGATTTTCTTTTTACTCGTCGTTTGATATTAAAATTAGTTTGATGACCTGAACATTTAAAGGAGTAGTACTGTGTAAAATCAACTTTTCTGAGTTTTACATGATGTTATGATGATATTCCCTCATCATACCTGGAGAGTTGCTGTGATTCTTTCATGCATGTTTGAGAAATCCTTTAATCTCCCACGGCAACCGCTCAGCTGTGCATAACGCTTGGGTGGACCTAGCTCCGCCCTCGAGACGCAGCTCCTCCTCTGAGCTGCAGTTTCCAAGCTTCTGGCCTTCGGCCTCACAGAGCAGCTCCTCTCCTACTCAGCTCCTTCAGACTAGTCATCAGCAATTAGCAAACATCTGCTGGAACTGTGCATGCTGAAGAGCTACTTCTTGGTAAAACACTGGTAAAATTGTTGTTAAAGGGTTAATAGAGGAGCCATGTTGTGAATACTTCCTAAAGGCGGAGTTTCAGAAAGAGCAGGAGTTTTTAAAAAGATAGAGGCCCAATTACAAGGCGCTAAACTACAAAGCCATGTTTCTTTTAAGTCGCATTTGATGTCTGTAGAATTTCTATAACAACTGAAAGTAACACAGTTACTTGATTACGCTATAAAATGGCACCATGTGTCTGGAAAACACACAAGAAATTTGCGGGATGGTAAAATACTTTTTACAGCACATTATTTAATTACCCCTTTGGAACCAATAAAGTATTTTTGAACTGAATTGGATGTACAGTCCCAACATCGTCTGTACTGCCTGTTTTGCAGGGGGTCTCTGCATCGCTCAGTCCATAAGGATCCCCAGAGAGCCCAGACGAGGCGAGTTCGACAAAATCATCAAGAGACTGATGGAGACGTCTAACGCTCGCGGAGTCATCATCTTTGCTAATGAGGACGACATCAAGTGAGCCAAGATCCACTGGCTGCCGCAGTTATGATATGAGAGATGACGAAACCTACCAGAGAATGATCCATTATTTTTTGCTTTTGTGTGTTTCAGACGGGTACTACAGGCTGCGAAAAAAGCCAACCTGACAGGCCACTTCCTGTTTGTTGGGTCCGACAGCTGGGGGGCCAAAAGCTCTCCCATCGAAGATCAGGAAGAGGTGGCAGAAGGAGCAGTCACCATCCTGCCAAAAAGAGCCTCTATTGATGGTATGCGAGATTTATACATCTGGGATGGCTGGATGCACATCCAATGGGATATTACATATGACATTTATCAATGAGTTGACTAATAATGCAATAAAATAGTTCATGAATGACTGAGAAGTCTGATCTGATATTGCCGTCCTATTTAAATTAAGGAAACCAGAATCACATTCAAACTTGCTTGTATAAAAACATGACTTTTTTTCCCCCCTTCTGATTTCCCCCCCAGCTGTGTGTTTCACTGACGTATAAACCCCCATGAACTTGAACTCAATACGAAATGCTTCTTGATCCAGGCTTTGACCAGTACTTCACCTCGAGGTCGCTGGAAAACAACAGAAGAAACATCTGGTTTGCTGAATTCTGGGAGGACGACTTCAAGTGCAAACTGACTCGACCCGGCATAAAATACGACCCCGACAGACGGAAATGCACAGGTGAGGAGCCCACGGTTTCAATCCGCAGCAAAGACAGCGACCGTACACGTCTGAAACTTAACCTCGGCTCTCTGTGTGTGTGACATGATGTTTCCCGCTAGGCGAAGAAAGGATCAGCCGGGACTCTCAGTACGAACAAGAGGGCAAGGTGCAGTTTGTCATCGACGCCGTGTACGCCATGGCCCACGCGCTGCACAGCATGCACATGGACCTCTGTCCCGGTTCCATGGGCGTCTGCGAGAAGATGGACCCCGTGGAGGGCCGGATGCTCCTCCAGTACATTCGCTCTGTAAACTTTAACGGTGAGTCCTCAGCCGCCGGACTGATTTTTCCACCTTTTCCTGTGTCACGTTCAGAAAAGAAGACAAACTGGAAGGCAATTAAGATTTAGACCTATCAAAGGCCGTTTTGACAAAAAAAAAGAAAAAGAAAAAAAGAAGCTGATTTAAAGGGGAGAGTGGCAGAAGGGAAGGCCAGCTTTAATATGAAAGCTTTGAGATGCTTTCTGCTTATGCTCCAAACTGCAGAACACAACACGTTGCTTTCCTTTCAAAGCGCGTCCCCTCCCCTCCCCTCCCCTCGGGGCTACCTCCTCGGCCTTTTGTGCGCACAACACTCCCGCTTTTCATCCCTCCATCGTCTTTTATTGAAAAAGAGTCACAGTTTGGAAAAATGAAAAGAAAAAAAAAGAGTGTTCTATGAAAGCATCCTATTTACTGCTTTCCTCCTTCCTGGGCGACCTTGTCTTGTATAGAAGACTTTCTGATTGAGAGCGCCTGCGGGGACCCGAGAGGAGCATTCAATCACGTTAGGGCAAGAGAGCAGAGTGCGCTGAAAGACTGTACGCTTGGAGTCACTAAAAAGCGTCCTGCACTTAGCTTTCAAATGACTGCGCGAGACTAAAGTAAGCAATACTGTATTCAACAGTGTGTGGGCATTTTCTCTCTCTCTCGGTATCCTCGGTTTCTCTGTCACACGTCTTGTGTGGGTTCAACTTCTTAATAGTCTTCCTCCAAACAACAGGCAGCGCAGGTACGGCGGTGATGTTCAATGAGAATGGAGACGCTCCTGGTCGCTACGATATCTTCCAGTACCAAATGTCCAACGTCAGCAACCCCGGCTACAGGGTCATCGGCCAGTGGACAAACCACCTGCGACTTAACGTAAATATCTGCACCACTCAGACCTTTTATACCAACTAATGGGAAATTACCAACAAAAAAAGCATCTGGTTTTGTCAAAGAGAATCTGTCAGTAGAGAAAATAAAAATAATAGTGATATAATAAAAAAAATATTTCTTTGTTTTTATTTTTTCACAGGTGTTAGAAAATGATCATTGGTTCTCTAAAACCTATACAATCCTTCAAAATAACACCTATTTTCAATATATATTGTTTTATTGCTAACTTTGCTGATATCCAGGTGAATTTGCCTCATGCTAGTGCCATGTTCCACCTGTGCTTACAATATGAAAAATCAATTAGATGTGAGTCTAAATGAGAGGGACTTCAGTCCACAATGGAAGACTTCATCCTGTAAGATAATTTGGATTATGACATTTCATAATCCAAATTTCATAATTTGGATTATGAAATCCAAATTTCATAATCCATTGAAAATTGATTATTTTCAATGGAAATAATCCATTGAAAATAATGGATTATTATTTTCAGTAGAAAATAATAATCCAAAATTGTTGAAAATTTTCAACAATTTTCAAAATGTTGAAAATTCCAACATTTTCCAGTGGGAGAAAATCAGCTGGAGTGAATAAAGTCAGAAATCTAAGTAGAAAATTCAAAATTGTGAGGTTTTGTTTTTCAGCTCAGTCAAATTTAGCAAAAAATATTTTCTATTAGTGTTATCTACGTGATGACAGAAATCAAGACTGGTTACACGAGTGTGTGTTTGAACATCTACCATAGCTGGAGGAGATGCAGTGGTCAGGAGGCGACCGCAAGATCCCGGAGTCCGTGTGCAGCTTCCCCTGTGAGCCTGGTGAGAGGAAGAAGATGGTGAAGGGCGTTCCCTGCTGCTGGCACTGTGAGCTCTGTGACGGCTACCAGTTCCTGCTGGACGAGTTCACCTGTGACATGTGCCCTTTTGACATGCGGCCCCTGAAGAACCGCACAGGCTGTCGTCCCACGCCCATAATCAAGCTGGAGTGGAGCTCTCCCTGGGCCATCATCCCCGTCTTCCTGGCCATACTGGGAATCTTAGCCACGACCGGAGTCATCACCACCTTCGTCCGATTCAACGACACGCCCATTGTTCGCGCATCTGGCAGAGAGCTGAGCTACGTCTTGCTGACAGGCATCTTTCTCATCTACCTCATCACCTTCTTCATGATTGCGGAGCCCAGTGCGGGTGTGTGCACCATACGCAGGCTGCTGCTGGGTCTCGGGATGTGCATCAGCTACGCCGCCATGCTAACCAAGACCAATCGGATCTACCGGATCTTTGAACAGGGCAAGAAATCAGTCACGCCTCCAAAGTTCATCAGCCCCACTTCTCAGCTGATTATCACCTTCATCCTCATTTCGGTTCAGGTAAACCGGTAAACGTTTTCGTGACATACATCATCAGTTCGGTACCTGCAGCAGTCTAATGCTTCTCTCTCTCTCTCTGTAGTTACTGGGGGTGTTCATTTGGTTTGGCGTGGTTCCCCCTCACACAACCATTGACTACGACGAGCTAAAGCCTCCGAATCCGGAGTTTGCACGTGGGATCCTGAAGTGCGACATGTCCGATCTGTCGCTCATACTCTGTCTGAGCTATAGCATTGTGCTCATGATCACCTGCACTGTGTACGCCATCAAGAGCAGAGGAGTCCCGGAGACCTTCAACGAGGCAAAGCCCATTGGCTTCACCATGTACACCACCTGCATCATCTGGCTGGCCTTCGTTCCCATCTTTTTTGGAACAGCACAGTCTACAGAGAAGGTACAAGTATGAACTCTGTTTTCTGCTGCCCAACATCTGGGACAGCAGGGAGCTGACATATTTTTTTTATTGAGGAATTCTTTTTAATTTTGAAGTTTCTTTGATTTGAAAGTGTCACATTGTCAATTTTTGCTGTAATTAAAGTGGTAGAAATAAGAAAAATGATTGGGTCATTTGAAACTAGGTCAGGACGACACGTAAACATCACCTCTAGTCTTATTGAGCTCTTAGAGTACTTCATACAGTGGAATGTACTTTCACTATTATGTATTCAGACTTTTTAGACTGTCCCCTTTGTGCACGTTCTTACCATTCACTAATCTAAGTGTCAATGAACACAAGGGTGAGGCAGGATTCAGTACCTAACATCTTGCCAACAGATACAGTAGGAATGGTCCACTCTTGCCTTTTAACTGCAGATATGTAAAAAAAAAAAAAAAACAAAACACTAAAGACCTAGGCTGACTGAGGTCTATTAAGTAGTGGAGTCCCTGAACCTCTGAGTTTTTGCAACTTGTGTGCCACCTGTCACTGAACAATTCAGACTGTGTTCTTTTAATGCAGGTACACCTGCGCTGGCATTTCAATGGGCCATTTTCAGAGAATACCGCACCAACGTACACGTCTAATATAAACACCAGACCACTTGTTCAGCTTGAGTGCGCTTAATGCAAACTTTTAAAAGCGTAACTAACTCAGCATTAAGGGCTCAACACATGGGGGCGCTCCACCCAACACACAGCAGAACATAGAGCGAGCATGTAGAAGATTCTCTGACCAGAGGAGACCCTAACTTAACTTTCTGGGCTATGTGTAAAACAATATGCGGTGAAAATCTAACATGTCACACCATCGCACACCACAGTAAAACATGGTGTCAGCACAATGCTGTGGACATGGGGGCAGGGTAGCTGAAGCTGAGCAGAAGATGGATGGAGACTAAGAATTGTGAACACATTTGCAAACCGCTGTAGGTCTAAAAAAAAAGACAATAGATGCTGTGTTGGCTCTCTTTTAAGACAACTCTCTCTCCTTGATCCCTATGAAGGCATTAAATTGGTGCAGTAGCTGAAATTATTGCCACACACAAAGGAAAGCACACTCACAGTTGGAAAGTGAAAGAAAAGAAACCCTCAAATCCTCAAAGTGAAATCTCGGTTTGCTGCCTGTCAAATCGTATTTGCTTTCCGCTGCCCTCGCAGAACATCCTGCCACCACTGTACTTAGGGTTTAAATTAGCTTCGGGGTTATTTTCTGCCGCAACAAAATACGGGACTGATGGAGGAATATCGGAGAAAAAAAAATACGGATAGGCTTTGACTAATCAAGAGCCGCATTATGACTCAGTCATGCTGAAACAATTAAAGCCTCGGGGTGCTTTTAAAGTCTTTTCACCTCTTCAAACTGGAAGTGAAGTGAATGAAGACAGGAAGGGAAGAAGAAAGGAGGGCAGACGAGTCGACGGGATGATCCGGCCGCTCGGAGACCAATTTAACCCTCTCGTTCAATTAATCATCACTTTGGGAAAAACGGCTAAATATAGGCCGCGTCTTCTGTCCGCGTCGTGGAAGTGACATCTGTTATCAAGCCGTCACGTGCAGAGAGCAGCGCGCGGGGAGGAGCTGGTCTACCTGTTAGCTCCAAACATGGCGACGGCAAAGTTAGTTTCTGAGCACGTCTCTCTGCTCACCCCGGGGCCAAACACACGCACACGCACACACACACACGCACACACACACTCTCGACTGTACTACAAAATCACTGAAAGCTTCTCCAAGAAAGAAGATTCCTCCGAGAAGAAATAAATAATAATACAAAAAAGGGAAACATGCGAAAGACGGCAGAGGACAGCAGTATAACCTCAACTCAGAAGCGGCAGAATGATTGTTGGTGATTTATTTATGGCCGCAGACGTATGTCTTATTCATGGCACATGGACTTCATGTTTTTTTT